AACAATACGCTGTTGATTCTGTTAATCCTGTTCGTTGATGTACTACAGTAATGTTGTATAACAATACGCTGTTGATTCTGTTAATCCTGTTCGTTGATGTACTACAGTAATGTTGTATAACAATACGCTGTTGATTCTGTTAATCCTGTTCATTGATGTACTACAGTAATGTTGTATAACAATACGCTGTTGATTCTTTTAATCCTGTTCATTGATGTACTACAGTAATGTTGTATAACAATACGCTGTTGATTCTTTTAATCCTGTTCATTGATGTACTGCAGTAATGTTGTATAGTATTACACGATTGATTCTTTTAATCCTGTTCATTGTATCTGTTGTATAATAACACGCTATGCCACGATAGCGTATTGTTGTACTGATGTTTGTTTGCCCTGATTTTATAGGATTGTCTGTACTTTAAACTACACTCACGTAAAGTACTTTGTTCGATATTCTAGTTGAGAGAGATAATACATGATTAATGTCTCATTGATAACAATGAGAGCCTGCTTTCGGTATGTGAAAAGTTCTTCACTTCAGGTTCAGTTCCTGACCAGTATCACATATATATATATACATCCATTAACAGCATGGATGAAGGTACTTGATAGGATATCGGGGTATGTTCGGAGCAAACAAAAAAAGACTTTCAAGTTCTTTAGAAGTAGCCCAGAGCACAGCAAACTTGTTATTCACATTATAACTTATATATTCTTATGTATGGTAGAAATCGCAATGGTCTGAATTCAGTATGTGTACAAAACGACTCCCCTCACCCGAATAAACATACCGTGGATACCATAAACACGTGTAGTGTTAGACTGATTCAGCGATCACAGCTTAATCACGAAGAAAAGTTTGCTTTGTTACATTTATGATCGTTTTCTTTTATAAAAGGTTGGTAATGGCCATCCTGCATTGGTAGGTGTGCATCTGGAACAGAAAGCACGTGATCAGTTTCAAACACAACCGTGCAGCTTAAAAAATGTTATGTTAGGTGAACTTGTCTGTTTCATCGACCGGTGTTACTCATTTTGTGACATTTTAATATTTAACAGGTGTGTGTGTGGAGTGGAAATTTTCAAAGCATTCGGCCCATCGAGGTCACTCTTCCACCAATCAGTAAACCAAAAACATAAAACTTCCTATTTATAAAGTTGAACATACGTTAACCTAACTACACAAACAACATACTAACGTAAATCATCCCACGTCAAATCGAAGAACTTCTACGCTCTTTAAGTTTAAACCTCTTAATATTATAGTCCAAAGTATTTAAACCCTTTCCAACCAGATATCGGTCCAAAAGTCCGTATTCGGTATTGTTGTTGTTGTTGTTGTTGTGTGTGTGTGTTTGCTTATAGCAAAGCCACATCGGGCTATCTGCTGTGTCCACCGAGGGAAATCGAACCCCTGATTTTAAAAATTGCACACAGTGAGTTTCCTTGTCTTATATAGGGACAATTGTGTATGGGGGGTTGGAGGGCACTACCCTCTCAATAAGATTGAAGAAACTGACAATATAATACTAGTTTTCCTGTGTGTTCTCTAAAGTTAGAGTACAATCCAATTTCAGGCCATATATTATTGCACTTTCAATATAATACAAGTTTTACTGTGTGTTCTCTAAAGTTAGAGTACAATCCAATTTCAGGCCATATATTATTGCACTTTCAATATAATACAAGTTTTACTGTGTATACTCTAAAGTTAGAGTACAATCCGATATCAGGCCATATATTATTGCACTTTCAATATAATACAAGTTTTCCTGTGAGTTCTCTAAAGTTATAGTACAATCCGATATCAGGCCATATATTATTGCACTTTCAATATAATACTAGTTTTCCTGTGAGTTCTCTAAAGTTAGAGTACAATCCAATTTCAGGCCATATATTATTGCACTTGCACTATAATACAAGTTTTACTGTATGTATTCTAAAGTTAGAGTACAATCCAATTTCAGGCCACATATTATTGCACTTTCACTTGAGAACGACCGAAGAGCTTCAGGGACTGGACCTCCTTAATATCCTGCCCCCATACTCTAAAAAAATCGCAAATGGTGTTATTTGGTCATTCTTACTCTTGATTTAAAAAATAATTGCGATAAATAAATCCGGACATTTTTCTTTTCATTGCAACCGAAGACGTCAGGTTTTTACTATAAAAACAAATACTCAAAAAAAGTAAATCCTTTCAAAATTCCAAAGTGTATTACTACTCCATGTAATTAATTCGTTTGTCACGTTCTTTTCCAGTAAAGAAAAAACGGTATTTTTAATGAGAGAAACATTTTCCTTTGAAACGACCCCTCCCATGTTCGTGCTCATAGTTGGCATTCAGTAAATATTGCCTTGAACTGAAGAATGTTTAACATGAATAAATCACTTCAAATGTATCTATCTTTACGCTTGGTAAAAAGAAAAGGAAAACAGCATATTTTTGGTTTTAAATCTACGAAGATCTGACATCAGAATATTTACGTATCCTGAGTTTTTGTTTCGGCTCTAACTTTTATTGGCCTAGGTGTTTGATTTGGCTATAACTTTTTCGTGGCTGTGTGCTTGCTTTGGCTACAACTTTTTGTTTACTTTTTTGGCTATAACCTTTCGTGGCCGGGTGCTTCCTTTGGCTATAACTTTTCGTGGCCTAAGTGTTTACTTTTTTGGCTATAACTTTTCGTGGCTTGGTTGTTTGCTTTGTATATAACTTTTTATGGCCTGGGTGCTTCCTTTGGCTATAACTTTTCGTGCCCTGGGTGCTTGCTTTGAGAGAGTGTCCTGTTGTGGC